ATGGTGGTTTGCAGGTTGGAAGGTCAGCCTTAGCCTTGAAAAGTATTTCCAAGCACAGCCCATCCTCTGGTGGCCTGACAGCCTTCTGAGGGGAGAGGAGCAGGGATGATGACCACATTTCTTAGGGAGAGACCAAGGCCCAGAGAGGTTAGGAAATGTGCCCAAGGCGGCACAGCTCGCTCAACCCAAAGCGGGTATTCTCGGACCTGTGAGCGCTGAGCGGGCACCGGTGAGCGTCTGAGGACTGAAGCCTCACGCCTGGCCTGGCACCCTCCCCGGGCCTCCCGGCCGCACTCAGAGGGAGCCGCCCTGGGGCGTGGTGCTCCCGGCAGGTCTGAGGGCTGAGGAGCTGTTTTAGGGCCCGTGGGACACAGGAGGCCCAAGCTGGCCTCGGAGTCCAGCACAGTCAGCAGGAAGCGATCTCCGTGCATCTAGAAAGATTCACCGTAACCCTCCCTCTTCCAGACGAAACGATCATCCAGATGATAGTGCAGCTGCTCCAGGAAGTGGGAGACAAGTGGGATGACGAGGTGAGGAGCCAGGATAGGTGGAGGTGCCCCGGGGCTTGATGCTTCCTCCCCCTCTTCCCTATCCTTCCCCTCCTCCTCTTCCTTACTCCCTCTTCCCTCTCTCCCCCTTCTCCCTCTCCCCCTTCCCCTCCTTCTACCTGCCCTACCTGTCCTCCAGGCCTCCCAGCACCACCCCCACCCATCTGGACTCTGTCGCCCCCGGGCCTGGGGGCGCCCTGTAGCCGTGGGTGCTATTGAGTTGCTTCTCAGGGAGCTCTGCTCTCCCCTCAGGTCAAGGAGCTTCTCCCGTGCCCCCTGCAACTTCAAGCCGAGGGTCCACAAAACCCAGCCCCCGCCGCCAGGAAGAAATCCCAGGAGAGGAAGTCCAGCCTCAGGAGGTCCTCTTCTCACAAGAAGCCTGGCCCCGAGGAGCCGCGGAGAGCGGGGGCCGGAGACGCGCCCAGCCCTGATCCCCGGCCGCCCAAGCGGCCCAGCTTCCTGTACCTGTGCGTCGGCGGGGGCCACCGCGCCTCCATCTCCAGCAGCGTCGGTGAGCGGGCTCCCCGTCACCATCGCAACACGCGCGGCCTCCCCTCCAGAAGCTCCCCCGGGGCTGGCGCTGGCCATGGGGAGCAGCCAGCTCCCTGGCCTTTGCCCTTTTCTGAGCAGCGTGGGGAGGAGAGGGACGGGGCAGGGAGGAGAGGGGTGTCAGCGGCCACCTCCGCACACCAGGCCTCCCCGCCCGGGCAGCCCGGCGAAGCCCCCACGGGGAATTGTGTTCAGGGGCCCGCATGGTCCTCACCCCTGCACCCCCACTTCCGCACCCTGGCCGCGGGGGCTGTGCAGGACGGAGGAGCTGGGAGGCGGGAGGCTGGGCTCTGAGCTGTGCCTCCCAGGCCGTTCTCCATCTCCGTGCCTCGGCCTCCGCGCCGGTAAAACAGGACGCCTGCCGGCTGCGTGTCTAGACTCAGTGAGCCCTCGGCCATCCTCTTACCTCCATTTCACGGACGGGGAACTGAACCTTGGGGAGGTAAAACAGCGTTCAAGGTCACGGCCCATCCATGATGGAGCCAGAGACAGAGGGAGAGGGAGCCAGAGACAGAGGGAGAGGGAGACAGAGACAGAGGGAGAGGGAGACAGAGGCAGAGGGAGAGGGAGACAGAGACAGAGACAGAGGGAGACAGAGGCAGAGACAGAGGGAGAAGGAGACAGAGGGAGAGGGAGAGGGAGACAGAGACAGAGGGAGAGGGAGACAGAGACAGAGGGAGAGGGAGACAGAGACAGAGGGAGAGGGAGAGGGAGACAGAGACAGAGACAGAGGGAGAGGGAGACAGAGACAGAGGGAGAAGGACCTCCTGGGTGTAGGCGGGGAGCCGCCGAGCAGGTGGCCCTGCAGGGGAATTCATTCTAAAAAGGAGGGGCAATATTTTGAACCACAGAGTGGGTTTTCCTGCAAGGATTCCGGCCGGAGTGCTGACTCATTCTACGCACTTACCCTCCAACCAGTGGGTCAAGCCGAGCTGGGGGAGGGGGAGGTCGCTGGGGGTGGGGTGGGGGGCGAGGGAGCGGAGCCCAGGAAGCCAGGTGCTCACGTGCAAGGCCCTGCCAGCAGCTCCCCCTCCCCCCTCACTCCCGGCTCACCCCCCCGTGGTCTGGCCGCAGAGCGCGCGGTGGAGGCTCTGTAGCGTCTGTGCAGCAGGGAACAGCCTCGAACCAACAAAACACACTCGCCATTTCATTCTGCTCCTCAGACTCGGAAGAACCTGAAGTCCAAGAGGCGGAGTCTGCGGAGTGTGGGGGTCCGAGTCCCTTCGAGCTTTCCCCCCACGCCCACGCCGGAAGCTGGGAGCCCAGAGAGGATGACAAAGCCTCGGAGTGCAGTGAGTACCTGCCTTTCCTCCGGTCCCTCCTAAATGCCTCTTCCCCTGCAGAGGAGAAGTGCACCAGGGAGGCAGCGCCCCTCCCCTCCGAGGTCTGAGCCTCCGTGTGCAACGCCCTCCTGGGGGGGGGGGGGCGGCCATAGGCGCTTCGAGCTGGGCAGACGGTGTGACTCAGGGCCTGGGTTTGAATGTGGGCTCTGACCTCTTCCAGCCACATCAACTTGGACAAGTTGCTTCTTCTCTGGCCTCAGTTTCCTCATCAGTGTAATGGGGACAGCAATAGTACCGCCCGCACAGAGCTGTCGGACGCACTAAAGGAGCGGGTGCCGAGGCAGCGGTGAGAGCAGCCAATAGTCGTCAGCTGCCATTTGTGGTGATGGCGGTCGTGAGGCTGTTGGGAGCCGCTGGAGAAGCAGAGGATGGGAAGGGAAGGGCCACAGGAGGAAGCTCAGCCATCGGCAGCTGCCCCCTGGCTTGTTACTGTCTCGTCACTGGGGGGGCCGAGCTTAGAACCAGAATCCTGTCAGTTCTGGTGCTGAGATCCCCGTAAAGACCTGCTCCGGCCCCCTCTGCCTGGTTTGCTTTTCACAAAAAGTGCCTGGAAGCGGGTGTGGAGGGCCCAGGGCCGTTTCCGTTTTCCTCACACCTGGCGGCACCGCTAGGTCCTCCCTGGGGAACGATCACCTCTGTGGCCCCTGAAACTGCTCTGCCCTCGGCCCCGCCTGAGGGGCCTGCGAGTCCCCGAGGGTCAGGACGGGGACAGCCGCAACGCAAGCTCCTCAGCAGCCAGGAGACCCCGGGTCACCCTCCGGGGCCTCAGGAGATGCAGACTGACCCGCACTCTGCGCTGAGTGTAAGCAGCCGCTCTGCTCTTTTTTAGGAGAATTTGTCCAGAAGATCATCGCCCTCCTCCAAGAGGCAGAGGAGCAGGAGGCAGAGAAGGTGAGGAGGCCGCCCTCCGCCTGGACCCTGGCCCTCACCACGGACCGGGCCCTCCCCCGGCTCTGCTCGGCCGGCCTTCCCCACTGCAGGCGCCCCCTCCCGCCCCTGAGCACGCGCACTCCTCTCGGAGCCACAGGCGGGCGGGGCGCAGCGGGCCTCTCTCCCAGCTCCCCTGCCGTTTCCTCAGTCAGGGCCTGACCGGCTCTCTCTCCTCTCCTCTCACCGGCAGCAGCCCCAGGTCCCGGAGCCAGAGGCGGCCTCAGGAAGCCCGGCCCCGCCCTGCAGGAAGAAGTCCCAGGAGAAGAAGTCGAGCTTCCGAAAAGCCTTTTCCCATAAGAAGCACAGCTCCAAGGAGCCCAAGAGGGCGGCGGCTGCGGGTGCGGCCAGCCCGGGGCCCCCGCGGCCCAGGCGGCCCACCTACCTGGGCCTGTGCGTCGGGGGCCACCGGCCCCCCGTCTCCAGCGGCGTCGGTGAGTGGGCCGCTGCCGTCATGGTGCAGGCTTGACGATTGCTCTCTGCTCTGAACAGTGGGGGGGTGCGGGAGGACCTGGGGAAGAGAGGGGCGCAGGTTGCTGGCAGGACCCACCACTCCCCACACCTCCCGCGTCCCACACACGCACCCCAGCATCTGAGAGCAGAGGTGGCCGGAGAGCAGTGCCTCTGTGCACCCGGCAAGGGCGCCCGCATCACCGGGCAGCTCAGGCCGAAGCACCTGCCGAGGTCTGAGGGAGGAGGACACGCCTGGGGCTGGGGTCTGAGGGAGGAGGACACGCCCGGGCTGGGGTCTGAGGGAGGAGGACACGCCCACCCGGGGCTGGGGTCTGAGGGAGGAGGACACGCCCGGGGCTGGGGTCTGAGGGAGGAGGACACGCCCACCCGGGGCTGGGGTCTGAGGGAGGAGGACACGCCCGGGGCTGGGGTCTGAGGGAGGAGGACACGCCCGGGCTGGGGTCTGAGGGAGGAGGACACGCCCGGGCTGGGTTCTGAGGGAGGAGGTCATGCCCACCCGGGGCTGGGGTCTGAGGGAGGAGGACACGCCCGCCTGGGGCTGGGGTCTGAGGGAGGAGGACACGCCCGGGGCTGGGGTCTGAGGGAGGAGGACACGCCCGGGGCTGGGGTCTGAGGGAGGAGGACACGCCCGCCCGGGGCTGGGGTCTGAGGGAGTTGGGGTCTGAGGGAGTTGGCCGCACCGGGTGTGAGGGCCGCTGCACGCAGTGACTCCCTGGCCGCTGGAGTGACACTCGCTGCCTCGCACACAGTGTCTCCTTTAACCAGCTCACAGCTGCGGCCAGTCTTACCACTCCCACTGGGCGGTGGAGACAGCGAGGTCCCCAGGCTGAGGGCCTGCAGGGTTACAGGGAAGGAGTTCCCGGGTGGGACCTGTGGGCAGGCCTCTTGCTTCCCTCCCGGGCAGAGTGGAGGCCGAGGGGGTGCTGGACGAAAGAAAGATCTGGGGGGCGGGCAGGTCGCGTGCCCAGGGGCGGGGCTCAGCCGGAGCCGGACAGCAGGGCCCCTCCTGCCGGGCGCGGCCTGCACGGCTCGGTGCGCGCACGTTCACACCAGCTCCTTTGCCGCAGATCCGGAGGACTCTGAGTCCCGGGAGCCCTCGCCTGCGGAAGGGGGACGAGTTGGATCCTCAGAATCGCCCTCCCAGGCCGGAAGCCAGGAGCCAGAAGGGAGACCTCTGCCGGACGGAGCGTGTGAATCCAGTTGGTACCCCCGCCCTCACCTGGGACGGTGCCCCTGCCCTGGCCTTACCAGGCTGGGCCCGGGCGGGGGCTGGAGGGCAGCCGGCGAAACCCAGGAGGCCGGGAGGCAGGGGGGAGGGCAGCCCCGGCTGGGGCAGTGCTGGAGACAGAGCCTTCTTCAGGCGGAGGACACCAGTCCGTTCCGAGGGATGGAACTTCACCCCCCCACACCCCTCCCCACCCCCCCACCCCACCCCTCCCCACCCCACCCCACCCCTCACCCCTCCCCACCCCACCCCCCAACCTCACCCCTCTGCACCCCTCCCCACCCCACCCCACCTCACCCTTCCGCACCCCTCCCCACCCCTCCCCACCCTACCCCACCCCTCCTCACCCCTCCCCACCCCACCCCCCCAACCTCACCCCTCTGCACCCCTCCCCACCCCACCCCACCCCACCTGACCCCTCCCCACCCACCTCCAACCTCACCCCTCCCCACCCCACCCCCAACTTCACCCCCCCACACCCCTCCCCACCCCACCCCACCCAGCCTGACCCCTCCGCACTCCTCCGCACCCCACCCCGCCTCACCCCTCCCCACCCCACCCCCCCAACCTCACCCCTCCCCACCCCACCCCACCCCACCTCACCCCTCCCCACCCCCCCAACCTCACCCCTTCGCACCCCTCCCCACCCCACCCCACCCACCTCACCCCTCCCCACCCCACCCTCCCAACCTCACCCCTCCACACCCCTCCCCATCCCACCCCCCCAACCTCCCCCCTCCACACCCCTCCCCATCCCACCCCACCCCACCTCACCCCTCCACACCCCTCCCCATCCCACCCCACCCCACCTCACCCCTCCGCACCCCTCCCCACCCCACCCCATTGGTTTGCTCCAAGGTTTCATTAATTCCTAGCTTGCTCCGGGTCCCAAAGGAGAGGTGTACTGGCCAGCAGGCCGGGCGGCAGGGGAGGTGGGAAGGGGGTGTCAAGAAGGGAAGCCCGAGCTGCAGCCTTTGCAGATCTCTGTGGTGTAAACATCCCCACTGCCAGCAGCTGGTAACCAGGGCACACACGCTCCCCGGCCATGTGCAATGAGCCCTCGGTCTGAGCAGGCCTGCGCACCGCTGCTTACAGCCCGGCCGGTGGGGACGTTCCCGCTCCATCCGTAGCCAGGAAGTCCCTCCCCCTTTCTGGTCCCAGCGCCCATTCCTGAGCCTCTGCTCCGAGCCTGGGTGCGGGACATGGGTGAGGGACATCGGAGGGCCCAGCTCCGTACCTGTCAAGTGGCTGCAGTGAAGTGGCAGCCCAATGCCGTCTATTCCATAAAGCACCGGCCCAGCTCGCAGGCCCAGGCTGGCTCGGGGAAGACGCTCCCTGCCCTTCTCCGCCCAGCTGTGCCGTGTCAGACACGGGGGTCTGTGAGCCACGTGTGACCCAGGACGTGCCCACTCTTCTTGTCTTCCAGAGGAGCTGGTCATCCAGCAGCTGGTGGCGCTCCTCCCCGGAGTGGACGGCCATTTGGGGGAGCAGGTAAGAGCACTCAGTCCCCTCCACACCTTCCCGCACACACTCCCCGGGGCCTCATCAACCCACAGCTGAGACCTGAGTTCACCCCAACCTCTGTGTCTGGGTGACCTTGGGCGTGCCCCTTACCTTCTCTGAGCCTCGCTTTCCTCTTTTGGAAACTGGGGGATAAATACCTACTTAGCACAGTTTAGTGCATGTTCAGAAAGCACCACACACGTAGCAGACGAGATACAGTTAGTTTAAAATACAATAATAGAAAGCTCTCGGGGCTCCCTGCCAGCCTGGACCACCCCAGCCAAGTCCCACCTCCCGGGAACCTCCTCCGAGTCTGGATGGCCTTGCCCGGGGCATGTCCTAGTGCCCCCTCAGCACCTGTATGACCTCCAGTTCAGGCTGTCAGATGTCCCTGCCCTGCTAGACAGCCGCTATGGGCGGTTCCCTGGCCCGGAATCCCCAGTCTCCTCAGAGACACACACCGATCGCCCATCGGGGGTCACTGGGCGGGAGCAGGCCCAGATGAGTGAGTCGTGTGGCGGCCTGTAGGTATCTGACCTCACCGCGCAGCCTGGCCCACCGCCCTCGGCCAGCACTGGCATCCCTTAGCCGAGGACTGGCCCCAGAGCCACGGTGCCACCCACGTGGTAGGTTAGAATGGACACCCTCCACCTGTCCAGGAGCAGTCCAATGGCTGATGGGAGCCGGTAGCCACACGCCCCAGCCCCTCGCTCGGGTGGGCTGGGGCAGAACTTGGAGGAGCTGGTTTCTTGAGTGCCCGAGGGGCCTGCTGGGCTGCTCTCCCATCAGTCCCCAGCTCTTCATTTCCCATCAGTGTTTCCCCGGTCACTTCCCGCGTCAGAGAAAGACCTTGTCTCTGCGAGGCCTCTGGGGAACTCAACGTGAGAGACATGTAGGCAGTAAGAGGAAGAGGCTTAGGGTGGGAACTAAAATTCATCAACGTCTAGGCCGACACACCATTTTCATAAACCACCTCATCAACCCCTCCCCCAAACAATCAGGGCCTCCCATTTTCCACAGACAAGCAGAGGCTCCGAGAGCTCACAGCCGTAGGTGCGGTCACACGGAGGGTCCTGCTGTTTGCAGCTGGACCTTGCAGACAGTCTGAGCGGCTGTGGGAGGTGGGGGAACAGAACCCGGAGCTTCTCCCAGGAACAAGGAGGCGGCCGCCTGGCTGCCGGGAGTGGAGGGGAGGCTGTGGGTGGGAGGGCCGCCTGCCAGCAGCACTGATGGCCCGCCTTCCTTTCTGCTTCCAGATCAGGCGACACCCCAGCCTTAAGAAGTTTCTCTACCAGCTCCCCGACTCGTCCCTCCGAAAGCTGGCGGGCACCCTGCACAGACGAAGCGCCGGCTGCCCCGCGCTCCGCAGGGGCCTGGCGGAAAGGCCCTACCAGTTTGCCTTCGACTTGGCCAACAAATTTGCTGGCAGCAACGGTCACACCACCCTCAGACTGATGGGCCTGCGCTACCCCCAGCGCCTGCACACCGAGGCCCCGCAGGTGAGACAGGGCGATGTGGCGCAAGTGACGGAAAGACTGACAAGATCGGGGTTACGACAGGATCTGCTCTCTGTCCCCTCCCTCCCTCCCTAGTTCAGGACTTTTGGGGTCCTTGCGGAGGCCTCTGAGACAGGTCTACACCACCGTTACCTTTTTCTTTCCCCAAACCCTCATTCGCTTTACTTGATAATTGGCATCTTCTTTATTTGGCCCCGGTCTCTAACTGTGTGCATTTCCATACTTTTGTTAAAGGAATTTATCTTTTTTTTTTTTTAATTTTAATGTATATTTTTGGTTGATTTCAGAGAGGGAGAGACAGATAGAAACATCAATGATGAGAATCATTGCCCTGCTGCCTCCTGAACGCCCCTTATTGGGGATTGAGCCCACAATCTGGGCAGGTGCCCCTGACTGGAATTGAACCCAGGACCTTCAGTACTTGGGCCAATGCTCTATCCACTGAGCTAAACCAGCTAGGGCTTTAAATATGTTTTTATTGACTTTAGAGAGAGAGGAAGGGAGAGACAGAAACATTGATGAGAGAGAAACATCGATGATCAGCTGCCTTCTGTACACCCCCCGGACATGTGCCCTGCCTGGGAATCAAATGGCGACTTGGTGCATGGGACAACTGTCAGCCAACTGAGCCACACCGGCCGGGCCCCTTTCATGCTTTTTGATGTCAGCATGGGATATGGGCCTGGCTGCTACCTTAGCTTACCCTCTTACTATCCCATGGGTTTTGCTGCTTGGCTTCCCAATCTGAGTCGATCATGAAATTGAAATAACGACGCAGGTTAAGATTGCGTGTCAGACAGCGGCTGGAGGACTGAGGGCCCGGAGGCGCTCCTTCGCTTGCCTGGGTCCTTGGTTAGCAGCCTCTCCCCTGCCCCATGCTCACTCTCCCAATTGCCTCATGCTTCCCCCTCCCCCAAGACACCAAGATTTCCATTTAGAAATAATAGTCCCTGCTGGTTTTTTAAAGACTGAGTTTTCACGTGTATTCTGGAAGACTCATAAAGTTTCCCCAATCCTTTCAAATCCACTTATATTATATAACTTGCTTACAAACACTGGACCCCGATCTGTAGAGCAGAAGCTACTGAATGAGGGTGTGACTTTAAAGGAAAGAGGTGTTTGTTGGTGTTGGACACACAGAACCAGAACTTCTACATCCTGATGGTCCCTCCTCGTCCACATGCGCGCTCCCCGCACCCCCCACCCCCCAGAAACCTGAGTGTCATAGCAATGTTGTCCCCATCACCCAGACACTCTGTCTTCCTCTCCTGGAATTAATTACCTTCGGAAGCCATGTGCTACATCTTCCAAGCTACAGATACTTGCAGCTTGTTATTCAAATGCTCTGCCCAACATTGGCTTGTTCTCCCGGTGAGAACTCCTTGTGACTTCACACCTCTCCTTTCCCAGCCTTACCGTCTTCTCCCGAGAATGGGGATATTACAGGTCATTTGCTCTCTAAGATGGCCTGGGTGATAGTTTATAGAGCGATCTGAGATCATTGTGGAAGATGTTAGAAACATCAGTTCTGACATCCTCAGTAGCCCGAATCCCATCCTCTGGTTTTATCATTCGTTCACTCATTCATTCAACCAGTAGATGGTGTGCAAGGTGTGTGAGGGCCTGTGGAAGGTTCTGCTAGTGGAAAAGGCAGTCTGGTCCCAGCTGACAAAGTTAAATATCAATTAAATGCCAAATTAGTGGTAACTGAGGCCGATAAAGCAAGTTGGCTCGGGGAGACTTCCTGGAGGTGGCAGGCACTGATTTTTACCTTCGAGGACAGAGAGGCTGGGGATGGGGAGAAAGGGCCAGGAGGACATGTGGGCAGAAGGTACCCTGTGAGCAGAGACCCCGAGGGGAGCTGGTGTGGTGCGTGGATGAGTTAAGGGACGTCTATTGTTATCTGAGCGGAACCCACAATAACTGGGCTCTGGCTACACGTATGTTCTTTTTCTCCGCAGAACTTCCCAAGTCCCAACCCCCTAAGTCCAGACTGAAAGCTGTGCCTTGCACTCAGGCGCCCTTGAACTAGCCAAACAGTGGGTGGCTTTACAGGAGACCCTGAAGATGCTCCAGGATTGTCCCGCTCTGCTGCTTCCCAGACATGACTGCAGACAGAGGACAGCCCCTCCGTGTCCTCACATCGCCATGGGCTTCAGACTGAGAACGAGAGGCAGACACACCGCGCGGGGAGAAACAGGAGACGCTGGACTGGGAGCTAGGAGACGCTTCAAACTTGCTGCAAGGCCCCGCATGTCCCTGACCTCGCAGACCTTGGGTTCCGGGTGGAGGTGGCCCACTGTGTCCCTTCTGGTTCTGGGTTCCGAGACCTGTCTAAAGAGGGGTGGTGAGTGCTTTTACGCTGCGGCTAAACGTAGCCTCTCCACTGAGCTGGAGGCACTCGCCAAGGGAATGAATGAATGAATGAATGAACGGACAAAAAGGCAGAGAACTCCTAAGATCCAGGCAGCTTGTCGGGCATTCCTGGAGGCCTTGCTCTTCAGCTGGAATTGTACAACCAGCGGATCTGTCTCTATGCCTTGGGGGGTGGGGGGTATGGGGGAGCCACCTCGACAAGCACCGGACTGGAGTCTGCATTCTGGGGACAACCCTGGTGCCGACTTGTGCCCCGGAGTGTCTCCTGGTTTTCACTTTCATTTAAGAGTTACCAAGTCCTTAATCTTATTATTATTATTATTATTTTTCCCCCCCGACATGTATTTTATTGATCCACAGAACTAAAAGTATGGCCACTATCATCTAGGACACCCGCTGACATTTTTTCAGATGTTAGCTCTAAATGGGCCTTAATTTCCAAAGTACATTTACCCTCTCACCAGAACGTCCGCATGCAATTAGACAGATGTGCCTCTATGTGCAACACACAGTTCATTCAGCTGACAGGGCCCACAGGGACTGGCAGACGCCACCCAGGAGCTCTGAGGCCAGAGAGGGAAGCTCTGTGCCCTGGGGATTGCTGGTCTGACCTGCCAGCCCATGCCCTGTAATGCTGTGGGCAGAGCAAGGAGGCCGGCTCCTGGCAGTTCTCTCGTCTCACGGGCGCTCACCGAGGGTGAGAGAGAAGTAAATACGGAGGATCTGAGGGTGACACAGTGCCTTGTCCGCTATGTCATCTTCAGATGTCGCTGTGATAGCCATGGTGCGGCAGTTTGCAGGAGACAGGCCGGTTCCAGCTGGCTCACCGTGGTCTGCAGGGCACCTGCCTGCCCAGGGGCACCGGGCCCAGAACTGCTAGCCCCCTCCGGGCACTGTGCATTTGTGGATCCCGGAGGACAGTTTTCCAGCCCCCCAGGGCCTTGTTTTTGTCCAAAGGTGAAGTGTGGGCCGTCAGGGGCTCTGCCTTCTACACAACTGGGCCGTTTCAACAGCGTGGCCACGTGCCATCGCCTGCCTGGCTGCCCGCAGGGCTGTGACCATAGCCTGGTCAGCGCCCGGAGCACCGGCCACGGCCACGGGGAGGGCTGCCAACACCTGGATGGCACACTCAGTCCTGTCGATCCTGAGCCCCGGGGGTGGGGCTGGGGTGAGAGGCCCCGGGCAGAGAGGCCGTGGTGTTCAGATGGGACTGACCCCAAAGCTGAGGCAAAGTTTAGGAACCGCAACTAATCACACTCTGGAAGTCATTTCTTGTTACTGCTGCTAAGAAGGGGTGGGGGGCAGGGTGGTGAGCTATTTATGGGGTTATGTTAGGTGGTGCGGAGGATACAGCACCACACGTGAAGGATGGGAATCCGTTTTAAGTGGGGGTCAGGAACCTCCCATTCGTAGTTTCTTATCTGTAAGCTGTATGAGCATTTGGTATGAGCTCCCGATGCTGGCATCTGACTCATTTTTGTACTGTGTCATTTGGACAAATAAAGAAACAACTTTATTTAAGGTCTCAGGTGGATCATTCACATGGAGACAAGGCTGGGGCCCGAGGGCCGCTTCCAGACCGGTCATGTGCCTGCGAGACTACGGGGTTCAGCCTCCTGGTCCAGCCTGGGCCCTGTCTGGACGCTTCCCGGGTGTCCCGTCCTTGGGTGCCACCTGGCCGAGGCGGTGACAAAAGTGCCCCGGGCTGGGCCTCGGGCAGCTGCCCACAGGCTGACAACCTTGACATGAGACACTTGCCCTCCAGACCTGACATTCCTCTGTGGCTCTCAGGGGACAGGTCATTGTTACGTCCAGGAAAATGTGGGCCAGGCCTCATTCTCAATCACCTGTTTACCCATTCTTAAATTCTGGGGCCCAGAGTTCGTCCCTCAGAGCCAGGAGAGAAGTGGCAGAGCCCAGGGCTGGTTTGGGCCTGGACATGGGGTCTCCTCCCTCCCCAGCTCAGAGCACATGGGGGTTCTGTCCGTGGCTGCTGCGGGTGTGGTGGCTTGTGTTCTTTCCAAACCACATTTCCATCCCCCGAGCCCGGGCGCTCATGGGGCTGCTATGTGGAGGGAGGAGAGGGCAGTACTTGTATCCGAAGGCTCAGAGTGGGCGGTGCCTTGTTCAAGGTCACACAGCCAGCTGCAGACGGGCCAGGATGCAGCTCTGAGATCCCCTGTTTTACTCCCCCCCCCCCCACCCCCGCCTTACTGTCTAACCCAGCGGTCGCCAACCTTACGGACCTCTAACCCAGCGTTTTTCAACCGCTGTTCCGCGGCACACTAGTGTGCCGCGAGATGTTGCCTGGTGTGCCATAGCTGCAGACAAGACAAGAATTTTATAATTTTTCACTATTTTGTTTACTTAATATTTCATAATAAAGTAATTATAAAATACTTTCTTTGTGTTTATTTGATTCCTATTCAAGAGAATTACTTTATATATATAGGCACAGAGTTAAATTTTTTAACATTTTCTAATGGTGGTGTGCCTCGTGATTTTTTTCATGAAACAAGTGTGCCTTTGCCCAAAAAAGGTTGAAAAACACTGCTCTAACCCATTACCTCATCTACCAAACCACCGAGCACTCACCATGGGCCAGGGCGGATGCAAAAGGCACAGTCCCGCCCTCGGGATGCTAATGGACCTCGCTGGTTAGGGGGCTTCCATGCCTTTGGGAACATGGGGTGGTGGACCTCGTATGAGGGAGGGCCTCCCTCGGCTCAGACCGAGGAGCTCTGCAAGAGCCCTGCAGCACATGGAGGCCCTGCTGCTCCGAAGGCTTCTGAAGGTGGGCAAGTGACATCAGGACATAATTAGCCCAGCGCCTCACCCGAGCCATCAGGAGGCTGAGCGGGTGAGTCAGGGGTAGCGGGGTCAGCGGAGAACTGGTCGAGTTCGGGGTGTTAGTCACAGAGGGCCGCACTGTCGCTGCCATTCAGATTCGCTTATTCGGAAAACCAGAGTGTGCTGGCCTTGGCCTTGGCACCAGAGAGACCTCCCAGTTACAAAGCAGGGCGACTGGCTTAAAAAATAAAAAAAATCCATTTGTGTGTTTTTTATTGTTTTTGTTTTTAAAAGCGTAAGAAGGAGAAAGGAACTAATTAGCAAGCAAGAACACGGTGGCCCTGTTAAATTTGAATTTCAGATATACAAAAAATAATAATAATAATTGCAATATTGGGGACATACTTATACTAAATAAATATTCATGATTTATCTGAATGCAAATTTAACAAAGCTTCCAGTGTTTTATCTGGCAGCCCTGAAACTAATGCAGGAAGAATTCTCTTGATTACCTCAAAATGGGGGAAAAGAAAATCAAGCAAAATGAAGGAAATATGCAAGGGGACTTACTGGTGCTTGTAACGGTAGCATGGGAGCATCTGGGCTCTGCCGCCGGGCTCTGAGCTGAGTCAGCAGGTACGAGCCTACGCAGGTCTCCCTTGCACACCAGGGGCACACTCTCCGGAGCTGTGCAAACGGGGTCCCCCACCCACACACCTCCAGGCTCAGGCCTCTGGGCCTAGCCACCTGCAGGAGGAAAGGCTGGACTCCCAGAACCGCTCTGGGCCACAGAGCCGGGCGGGCCGGGGTCCACACGCCGGAGACTGGACTCCGCTCCGGCCTCTCCCGGCACATCCGGGTCCTCCGGCAGAAGCTTCTGAGGGGGCTCGCGAAGACTCGTGTTCCCCAATGTGGTCCCCGTTACACGCAGGCTCCACCGGGGCCTCCTTCCATCAGCCCCGCCCCCCAGGCTAAATCTGCTCCGTCCTCCTGGTGCCCAGTCTGGTCAGGGCCACTTCCACCCAGCCCCTGGGTTCGGGGTTCGAGGACCTGTTAGGCAAACGCGTCCGAGGCCTCGGACAGCCTGGGCTTCCTCACGGGGCCCGGCCCGGCCGGGCTGGAGGGGCTGGTTTTTCAGGACAGGCTGGGGAAACTGAGGCTGAAGCTGTCTTTCTTGTGGAACCTTTCCCTTCGGTGTGAACAGCGGAGTCTGTCCTCATTCGGGCCGGGGGAGGGGGGACGTCTGGCCCGTTTCCTCTAAAGCCACCCACTCAGGGGGGCAGAGCCGCCAGCCCCCCTCGCAGCCCCCCAGCCCCGGACCCGGGGGCTGCTGCCACCGCAGCTCCATCGCGGGTTCCAGTGGCGGCCGAGGCGGCGGCCAGTCCGCGTGGAGCCTGTAGTTGGCTGTGTGAATGGGAAACAAAACTCAGGAATGTGCTTTCCTGACCCCACAGGGAACAGGGAGGTGTCCGTGGCTCAGCCCTGCTGGGCCCTCCAGAGTTTTGCCCCTCGGACCGCATCCTGAGGCTGGGACCCAGCTGGCCCAAGCGGGCTGGGGCGGGAGCAAGGCACCCCCCTGCCGGGGCCTGCTAACAAGGGGGCTGCGCTGCATGCTCCCCAGTTCCCGTCCCTGTCCGCCCGTCTGTCCAGAGCAGGTAGTGTAAGCTGAGAGGATGTTGAGACAAGAAGGTGCTCGCCGGAGGGAAGCAGGACCCTCTACACCAACAGGCCTGATGGTGGGTCCCCCTGGCCCCCCAAAGGCTGAGGACGAGGGGACAGCGTCTGAGAACAGTGGGAGAAGGCTCGGCCGGGCCGTCAGGTCCTCTCCCGTTCCAGCTCCAGTTCTCTCTCGCGGCTCACAGCTTCCTGGGGAAAGGAGACAGACCCGTCACCGTCGCCGCCGAGTCCCTCGCCTCGGACCTCCCTCCCCGACGCCCGCGGAGGGCGTTCCCCCAGCGGCATGCCCTCAGGCGGCCTGGGCGCGTGGCCGGCCCCACCGGAGCTGCCTGACGCGTCCAAACGGAAACTCTCCCTTCACCCCCGGAGCCCGTTAGAAGGTCACTCGTATACAAGGTCTCTGCAAACGGAGATCCCACTGCAGAGCAGGAGTCACTAGCGTGTCTGAGACGTCCCTGCGTTTACAAGTCCCGTTAATGTGTGGGTTTTCCGGGAGGGGGAGAGGCACGCTGCCCAAGGACACGCTGCCCACACAGGCGTAGGCACCGCGCCAGCCGTATGCCACATGTTACTGTGCTGCTTCCCATGCCGTTTGCACAGCTCTAGCTTGTGTGTCACTCACACAGATGTCTAGCAGTCAGCACTCAATTGTTCCAACAAAAGCAGTGTGTTAGGACCACCTTCCGGCCGCTGGCAGTCAAGTTCTATGGAAGGGATGCTGTTTGCTTAGCACAGGCATTGCATGGGCTGGTGTTGGCCTTGACTGCGGGGCAGGGGGATGGAGGGGGACTGGGTTGAGTGTGCTCAGGGGTCACACAGCATCCTGGGGCAGGGCCACCCCGGGGAGCTCCACACCTCGGGGCTGCTGCATTCCTGGATCCCGCTGGGGCAAGGCCTGCAGGTGACCCACACAGTCTTGGGCGTGGAGAGCACAGAGCTGTCGGGTGGGCAGGGTGCAGACCTGGGTGCGAGAAGCCAAGGAAGCACACATGAGAGGAAGGGAGATGGGAAGTCCCGCTGAGTGACCCTGGGCAGGCCCCGGCCCTCTCCGGGACGCGGCGGGAAGAGACCTGCTGAGCCCCCTGGGGAGAGGCCATGTGAGCGTGCCTGTTCCTGGGCGCTTTCCGGTCTGACTGTGCCATCCTGGTGTTCAGGCCCTGAGGTGGCTCCCCAGCAGCACGCGCAGAGCCCGACCTCCTCGGCCGGCACCCTCCCGCCGCGTCTCCTGTGCACCTCCGAGTGCACCCCAGCCTCTCCCTGCCCGAAGGGAGAAACAGGACAGGGCCTGCGACTCCCGACTCCGACCCCAGCTCTGGAGGCTACGGTGGGCGGTCAGCACCTGGTGACAGACACCTGGGTGCGGATCCCAGCTCTGCCTCCGACCAGCTGGTGGCTGTGGGGCTGTTACCGAACCTCTTGGCGCCTCAGGGCTAGAGCACAGTCACTGCCATGGAATTGCAGCTGTTATTACCACAGTCACATCTGAACAGGTGGACGTCCCACAGTAACTCAGGGGGGGCTCTCGAGTGGCGGGAATCTGGGGAGTCGGACAGACTTGGTAGCAAATCGGGAAATCTGAGTAGCGAGTAGGAAGATGGACTCATCCTATTCCACCCGCAGCCTGCAGGCAGTCTCCGTGTCCCGCTTTCCACGTGGAGGCCAGCTGCACACCCGGTGAGATGGTCCCTGACCTCTCCTGGACAACAGACCCGGCCAGCAGAGGAAAGCCATGCTGATACCGTGTTTCCCCGAAAATAAGACATCCTCCGAAAATAAGACCTAGCACATGGGAAGATAAGACATCCCCTGAAAATAAGACCTACCGCAACTTTGGGAGAAAAAATTAATGTAAGACACTGTCTTATTTTCGGGGAAACAGGGTACATGTATCTGGCCGTGCTCAGAGAAGGACAGTTCTGGCAACACTTCTGTTCTGGTCCCTGCCCTGACCGGTTTGGCTCAGTGGATAGAGTGTCGGACTGCGGACTGAAGAGTCCCGGGTTCGATTCCGGTCAGGGGCATGAACCTTGGTTGCGGGCACATCCCCAGTAGGGAGTGTGCAGGAGGCAGCTGATCGATGTTTCTCTCTCATCGATGTATCTAACTCTCTAACCCTCTTCCTTCCTCTCTGTGAAAAAATCAATAAAATATATTAAAACAAAACAAACAAAAAGAAACCTTTGGGTCCTGGAATGAAAGGGCCAGGGAGCAGGCTTGACCCCAGCCTGGGCCTGAGTAGAGCCATTCCGTCCAACCAGAGGCCGGGAAAGAGGAAAGCAAACGCTGGCTTTTGTGACGCTTCGATCTGGGGTCGGTCGTCGGTTCTGCGGCATCATCACAGCCCCAGCGACTGACTGACACAACGGCATCACCGTGCGTGCGGAACCCGCGCCTCAGCTTTCATTCCAGCCTCTCGTTTTTGGCGGGAGGGACCGGAGCCACACAGGACTGGTCCCCGGGTGTGACCGTGTCCCTGTGACCATAGGCTGGGAGAAATTGAGCAGACCACGCCTCTTCTCTATGGCTGACATTTCTGAGCTTCCCTTTTCTGCGCCCTCCCCGGTCTCAGAGCTCCGAGCAGTAAAGCTGTGTGGGATTACGTCAGCCCAACTGGTGACTTGCCTCCAGGCAGTTGCATAACCTGTTCAGTAAAGCAGCACTGCAGACAGAGCAGCACATGGGACCCCGACCACGGGGTCTCCCTGTCGTTCTGTCTGTCTCACTCCAGCCTTTTCATGAAGCACCTTGAGTCCTAGAAGTTGGTCAACCAGGCAGCTCTGGCTGAGCTGCATCGTTCCCGCTGCTCTGACATGCAGGGAGAGGCCTGGCCCGGGAATCAAGGACCTGAGTGGGGGCCGGCTCCCAGATGGCACTGCCACGCCCCCTGCTGGCCTGCCCACATGCTCACGGCCTGAGCTTCTGGGACAGCTGTAGACACTCCAGGTCAGCTGAAGTTGGACATGGAGGAGCAGAGTGAGAAGAATCCCAGGCTGCACTGACCCCGCTGCCACCAGGGGCCACCAGCTGCTTGCTGGGTCCGGAACCCTCCCTGCCCTTCCAGAAGGTGCCTGGGGGTCTGCCCCGCTCCCTGAGGCCGTTCTGAGAACCTCCTCCCCGCCAGGCTGCTTCCCACCAGGCTCCTGCCGCCCCAATCCCTCTGCCTCCCCAGGGACCCCTCCCAGGCCAGGGGCAACCTGGGAGGGCGTCCCTTAGAATGGCTTGGATTTTTATTTTCTGAGCGAGATATATCTATATATATATATATATATATATATATATATATATATATATATAGTAATTTTTTTTCCCCCCCTGAGCCTGAAGAAAATTAAATAGCAGCGCAGGTCTGTTCCTTTCAGAAAAAACTTTGATAATCCAGCAAAGTACCGTATTTTTCGGACCATAAGACGCACTTTTTTCCCCCCCAGAAATGGGGGGGGGGGGGGAAGTCCCTGCGTCTTATGGTCCAAATATAGCCTACACATATACTTTAAAAAAAAAGTTTTTTTACTTGCCCGGCTCTGTGTGGTCTCTGTGTGCTTGCCCGGCTCGAAAATGGTTCTAAATGCTGCTGTTTACTTTACAGGGTTGATTACATGTGTTTATGACTGTGATGTTGGGTTTTAATGCACATAAAATATTTTAGGACACTATTTGTTTCAGAATCTTTTTTTCTTCATTTCCCTTCTCTAAAAACTGGTGCGTCTTATGGTCCGGAGCGTCTTATGGTCCGAAAAATACGGTAATTACAGGTGATGCCAGCGTGGTTTGTGCTTGAGGCTGGTGTTCAGGATTTGCCAGGGTGTGTGTATGGACACATGTGCCTAAAAGAGAAGCTTGGTAAAAAATAAAATAAAATAATAAAAATAAAATGAAATAATAAAATATAAAATAAATGAAATGAAATAAAATAAAATAAAATAAAATAAAATAAAATAAAATAATAAAGCTGGTTTCTATGGGTGCATAGTTCATCAGATCAGGTTTTATTCTTGTCTTTGGCCTGAAGTTCCAAATTCAGGAGAAACTCTTGAAAGTTTGGGATTGAGTTTAATTCACCTTTGACTTCCCCAGAGCCCAGGAGAGTGCTCTTTACTTATTGGGTGCTCCATAAATGTTGATAATTAAATCAATGACAATATAATACAGTCACGATGCTAGGAGAAGCCGGCCTACGTAGGCGAGGGCTGTTAGCTGTAGGGTGGGAACAGTTACTCTACATGCTGAGTGTCAAATGGGCATCGACCTGCCTAGTGTGGTTTCCTAGTGGATGGCGTTCTCTCCAGGAGCTGAGAGGCAGCTGGCCCACCTCGGAGTTATGGAACCTCAGTGTCTGCTAGTTATTGCCGGCGGCTGCACGCCTTGCTCCCCGCGAAGCAACGTGCAGAGCTGACCGCACCAGAGGCCCCCTGACGAGGCCGTGGCAGACCTCGGATCCATGCTGGGTGCGTCCTATTCCAGACCCCGCTCCGGACGCCGCTCCGGACCCCCTCCAGCCCTGTGACCTCCCTGCAGCCCTGCCCCTGCTCCTGCCCGGGGGTGAGAAACGTTAGCCATGCTCACTGCGCTTTGCCGCCCGGCCTTTTGGGCCGTGGCTGCCTCGGGAAGCCTCTTCTGGAGCCACTGGTCTTTGGTTTGTTCTTCTTGAACGCCTTGGTCACCCCGCTGGAGGCTGCGGCGGGGCCCGCCCTGGGCAGAGAGAGGCGGCGGCCGTTAGTGACCGTCCCGCGTCCCCTGAGGGCCCTGCTCCGGCGGAGGAGGTGCAGACACACCGAGCGCGGCTCTCGGCCCCGGAGCGCCTTGTCCCCCCGAAGAAGACAGAGGAGGGGGAGCTCTGTAGCCACACACACTGGAGGAGGACCCAGGCCACGGGCTGGAAGACGCTCCCAGCGGGGGGCCCTTACCCGGCGGCGTCTGGCCGGCTGCCCGTCTCCTCCCCGTCCGCCGGAGGCGCGGCGCTTCGCGGGCTCAGAGAGGCCAGAGGAGCTGCAGCCACAGGGAAGAGCAGGAGACAGGAGTGAGGTGGCGTGCGGAGGGCTGCTTAGTCTTTTTTTATTTTTGTCACCCATCACTTCCCCGGCCTGCTGCTCAGCCAACAGGAGGCTGGGCATTTCCCCATCAGGCAGAAGCTGCCGTCTGTACTAGAGCGTTTTCCTCTCTCTGACCTCACTCAGGGCAGCCTGCTGTGCCCTCCCCTCCCCCGTTTTAAAGAAAGACCCAGTGAAATGAAACGGCCAAGTTTTAGACGGGAGCCGAGGGAAGACCAAACCCTTCTGTAACCCTAAATCTTAAAACATGAAAAACAAAACAAATCCGTCTCCATTTCTATTTTACTTTTTTTTTAAATTATATTTTACTGATTTCAGAGAGGAAGGGAGAGAGAGAAACGTCACTGATAGAATCATTGATTGGCTGCCTCCTGCATGCCCCCTACTGGGAATCCAGCCCACAACTTGGGCATGTGCCCTTGGCTGGAATCGAACCTGGGACCCTTCAGTCCGCAGGCTGACGCCCAATCCACTGAGCCAAAACGGCTGGGGCCGTTTTACTTTTTGCCAAAGTTTTCCTCTTTTGTCCTGAACGGCCTGGGCCGTTGTGTCCTCCTCGTTTTGTGAACCTGGAATTGGACGAGGTGCTAAGTAGTGCTGCCCAGTGGTTAGCAGTGTGACATTGCAAGTGTTTAGTCTTTTTTGTTATAACAATCGGAAGTAAGCGAGGGTGTTCGCAAAGAACAGCGAACTGTCTCGTCCTCCAATTCTGACCTGTGCGACCACAATCTTCCTGTGGCCTTGACCGCGATGCAGCGGAAGGCTGAGGCTGACCTCCGTGTCCCATCACCTCGCCCCTCAGGCGGAGCCGCCGTGCGAGGGAAACAGCGGAAAAACCCACAGGGCCCGGACCTTCCATCACCCGCTCCATGCACTGCTTTTCTCGTGTTTTTAAATAAAAAAAACATTAGTAGTTTTATGACTATGCTCTTCATTAAGGGCACTGCATGTTTTCAGGGTGTGGATAGATATAAAATGTGAAGATTAACATATAGTTATGTAACACACGTAACTAAAAATAACAGGGAATCTGTTTAGATCCCCGTACCAGAGGTTCCTTCATTTGGGGGGTGGATATCTCAAATCTATCAGCAGTTTCTATGTTGGGGGATTTTCCTACAGCTTCTGGCAACACCCACCCCGGCCACATGGCCCTCGCTGCAGGACTGACAGCACCGAGCCGGGAGGTCCCTCCCGGCCCAGCTCCCTCCGCTGGCTTAGGTGTCACCACGGCTCGGCCGAGGCAACATGGGGTCCAACGTCAGCATGACCGAGTGAGGGCTGTCCTGTGCCCTGTGCCCTGTGCCCGCAGGACGCTCCGCAGCCTCTGGCCTCCAGGCATTGCCACGTCTCCTGGGTGGTCGCCCGCTGAGAACCCCTGGGGCCTCCGTGCCTCTGCCCACCCCCAGGAGGAGGGAGGATGCGGGGATGGCGCAGGCACCGGGACGGCCACCTTTGGGCACAGGTGTGCTAGTCAAATAAATGCATTTTATGTAACAGGAAATAAGAGCATGCGAAGCACCTTGACCCATTTTCTGACTTTTAATGTCCTTACATTTTATTCTCGTTGATAATCTGTGCTACTGTTTACCCTGGTACTGTGGATGTCTGGCTGGTGGACCAGAAGTTGGACCAGAAATTCCCTTCATCCCATGATCTGGGCTCTGTCCCTTTGCCTCCCCATGCCCCTCCCCTTCCCCAGCCATCCATGCAGCCAAGCACATATCCTCTTCACCTTGAACGTACTTTGCATTTTCCTGCTTTGCACCCGAGCTTCTAGGATAAACACAACCTGACCTGCTCATCCCATCCAATCCCACCCACACACCAGGACTGTCAATATCCCGCCCACATCACCACTGTCGCCTCCCGGAGCCCCCCCCCCCCCCCCCCCACCCCGGAGCAGTGATCTCACTCTCCGGGACCCCGCAGCAGGCCTGGGGCCGAATCTGTGTCTGGTGTTTGAGCCGGTTTCCCGCCATCCCCTCTGCCGGAGGGGAGATGCCCCGAGGAGAGGAAGTGAGAACCGCTCCCCTTGCAGCCCCCAGAACAGTGCTTCTCAAACTGCGGCAAAGAGCCAGGTTTTAAAAATCTTATTTACAGCCCACATGGACCGGTGCGTCTGTGGGATGAGGGAGCCCCTCCCCGCATCGGCTCCGGCTCACTGCCACCAGCGGGGGACGTACAGCCGAGGGCCTTACACGGCAGAGAAACCACCTGGTCTGGCCCTGCCAGGGCATTCATTAATGTCTGATCAAAGAGAGCAGGCTCTGTCTAGAGGTGATAATTTTGAATGGCCTGCGAATGAAGATATAAATATCCAAATGGCCGTTGGCAGAAAAAAGATTCCTCCCCACGCACACTCCCGCATGCCCCCCCCCCCCCCAAACCGTGGCTGCCTGCCCTCGGAGCATGGTGTGGGCCACCACGTTGTCAGACGGAAGGGCTGCAGACGGGAGGAAACCCGAGGGCCCTGAGCAGCCGGAGGGGCCTACCTTGGGGCTGTGCGGAGCCCAGCTCCTCCGCGGGGGGCTGCGCAGCTGACGCCGAAGGACACCGAGGCCGCGTACGAGGTGCCCCCCTGGCCGAAGGCCCCGGACCTGGCCTGAGTGACAGCGACGGCTGTGAGGGTGGGGACTCGGGGGGCGATCCAGTCCGTTGTGCCTGCTCCTGTGGTGGCGCCGGTGCCAGACCAGGGGGTGAGCTGGGCGGGGTGGGCCCAGCGGGGAGTGACACAGGCGGCGCAGGGCCCGGGGCCCCCGCAGGTGGCGGCTCAGACGCAGCGGCCAGGGCCGGAGCGGGGGACTCCACCGGCCGCTCAGGTGTGGGTTCGGGGGGCTGTGCAGGCGGGGACACAGGCGGGCCGTGGCCGCCGCTCTCTCGCTCTCTGGGGTCCCGCTGTGAGGGGAGCTGCCTGGATTCCTCCGGCCGGGCCTGCTCCGCCCGGAGGCCGGGCTGGCTGTGCTCCGGGCCCTGGCCGCCGAGGGCCAGCTCTATCTGGCAGTACACTTCCACCCGCGGGAAAATCACCCTCCTGGAGGGAGAACTGAGGTAAGCAGCATCTAGGAAAAAACAAGCACGGGTCACGGGTGGCGTTTCTAACCTCCGACATCAGCGTGGTGTCTGCAAAGAAAGCTTTTCCAAGTGACTGTCGTAAGCAGGATCATGGCTCACCTGTGGCCTTTCTTTACTGACTGAACTGACATTGAGTGTTGGACTGTGTTAATCCATGTTCCCAGTGGATGTTTACTGAGCATGTCTGTGTGCCGGGCACCATACCTGGCACCGAGGAGGCGAAGGAGGCAGAAACAGGTGTGATGCCCCTCCCCGGAGCTTATGGCCCAGGGCGGGAACAGGCCCTGACCTCCCAAATAACCTCTTGTTAATCAAGACAAGTGCTGGGCAGGGGAGGAACTGGCACCAGGAGAGAGGGAGGCAGCAAGGACTGAACTGTGGCTGGAGCCTGGGGGGAGGGGACCCCTGGGGCTGGGGATGGGGCTGAGGAGCAGGGACCAGATTGCTCAAGGGCTGGTAGGCAGCACTGAGGACTCTTCGTTTCCATGGAGACCATGGAGCCTTCCAGGCAGGGAGGCGCCACCTGCCTCTGGCTTTGACAGGTCCTGTGGCTGCGGTGTGCAGACTCCCCGACACGGGCACAGGGGCCAGGAAGCCCTTCAGGTGGCTGCGGAGCAGTGTGTGGGGCTGGCGCCTGGACGAAGGCAGAAGAAAGTGGAAGTTCTGTTTGGGAGGTGAGTGGGTGAGGACTGGAGAGGGGCTGATGGGGCAGAGGGGAGGTGGGTGGCTCGCACTGTCTGACGGATGCTGGTGCTGTCTGCTGAGAACAGGCCAAGGGAGGGATGGAAGGGAGGGGGTCTCAGGCTAGGAGCTTGTTTGGGGACACACTGAGTTTAGGGGGCCGTGGAGATACCCAAGGGGAGACAAGGGGGTGATATGCGTGTGGATTTGGATCCCGGAGACGAGACGGGGGTCAGAGATACATATGTACCGGGTGGTCCCGGGGGCTGTGGTGGTGGCTGTGAGGGGCTCCCCGGAGGGAGGGAAAGCAGAGTGAGAAGAGGGGGCCGGGCTCGAGGCCGCCGAGTAGAGGGGCCCAGGGCAGGTTTTCTAGAACAAACAGAACTGGGTAGATTCCAGAGCTGCTTGTCAGAGGAATAGGAGAACATATTTACAAATAGTATTCCTGACAACGGCGTTTTTCCAGAATTCGTTAACGCTCTTCCTTGAGAAACAAGCAATTCCGGGTTTTGAATGGGCAAAGAGCCCACGGCAGGAGCTCCCGATGCCAGAGCTGGGGCAGTGAGAGTAAAACATTAGAGTTGAATAATAACCCAAAGTATAAAACACGTGCCCAGGGGTTCATACATAAACCAGCCAACGGTTGCGTAAGTGACGCAGGCGAGACCCCTCTCCCACGCAGAAGCCGCCCACACCCGCTATGTGGACGGCCGGGCCTTAGGGACGTGGCGAAGGGCTCCTGGCCTTTCCCGTGTGAGCTGTGCGCAGACCTCCCTCCAGAGGAGAAGAGTGACGTTACAAGGGGCGCTGACAGCAGCTGCAGCCGGGGACCACGGTCAGGCCGTCAGTGACCGGTCGGGTGGACGGCAGGCGTCCCTGATACAACGTGCTGAGAACGGCACTTCGCCTCTTCGGTCTTCCTTCCTCCAACCCACGACCCCGTCTAATCATGGGGCAAACATCAGCCAAACCCGCCTGAGGGACAGTCTACGAAGTACCTGGCCAGGACTAACCCCCCCGCCCCCCCAGCCACTAAAAACAAGGGGAGCCTGAGAGGACAGGACGTGGTCTCCTGGAGGGGGTCCTGGGTCAGAGGAAGGACATCAGGCACCGACTCAGGAAATCTGAGCAAAGTATAGATTTTGGTTAATCAGCATACTACCGTAGAGCATCTAACAACGGGGAAACCTGGATGTGGCGTGTATGGAGCCTCTGTACTGTTTTTATATTTTTTTAATATATAGTTTATATTTTTCCGAAAATCTGAAACTGTCCTGAAAATAAAGTTCATGAGAGGTCTGGGGGGAAGTGGGCAAAAGAGTTGAACATTCATGTCCAAAGAAGCTATCTGGACCACAAACAAGCTAATGAAAAGATGCTCAACATCATCAGCCACCAGGGAAAGGCCAATTCAATCCAGTGAGACACTCTGCACGCCTCTCAGAGTGGCTCAGGCGCAACAGACCTGCCACACCAAGTGCCGGTAGAAACTGGGGGACCCTGGGGGACACTGGAGCTCCCATGCACAGCTGGAGAGAAAGGAAAATGATACAGCCTGTGGAAGACCATTTGGTGGTTTCCTAAAAAGTTAAATCTGCATTCTGGGAATATGTCTCTGTCTGTACATATCCAAACAAGGTGACCATCGAATCTCAAAGAGATAGTTTACAACCTTCCACTGCAGCACTATCTACAACCAGAGGTCCAATGCTCAAAGATTCGTGCCAGAATGAGTCTTCCTCCCCCTGGCTGCCAGCACAGCCTTCACTCCAGCCAGAGCACCTTTCTGCCTTCCCACGCTGCCCAGAGGCCCTGAGCGGCTGGGGTGATGCAAACGCCTGCGTCGTTTCCATGGTGATGACACAAGTGTCCTGCCCCGTCTCTGGCACCTGCATATGCTAACCACCCTCCATCTTTATTGGGTTAGTTTGCATACTCACTCCTGATTGGCTGGTGGGCATTGTGAAGGTACAGTCAATTAGCATGTTACTCTTTTATTAGTGTAGATAGCCAAGAGGTAGAAGCAACCATATGTCCACTGATGAATAAATGAATGAAGAAAATCCTGTCACATGCTACAAGATGGATAAACCTCGAGAACATTATAAGTGAACTAAAGGCAAATACTGTGTGCTTCACTGTGTGAGGGACATAAAATAACCAAACCCCTAGAAATACAAAGAGGAGTGGTGGTGGCCAGGGCCAGGGCCTGGGGGAGGGAGAAATGGGAGTTTGGGGCCAGTAGGCATAGTTTCAGTTTTGCAAGATAAAACGTTCTGGAGGTTAGCTGCACAGCAAAATAAGTATGCTTAGCACTACCGAGCTGCCCATTGCAAGTGGTTGAGGTGGTACATTTATGTCATGTGTTCTTATCACAATTTTATATATGCATATTATATATAATTATATAATATAACATAATTATCATAATTATATTTGTAACACATCTTCCATGTGATCTAATCATTCCTCTCCTGGGCATTTACCGAAGAGAAAAAAGACACATGTGTGAGTATTTATAGCAGCTGTATTCATAACAGCCTGAGGTGCATACAGCTTAAATGTCCACTAACAGGTGAATGGCTGAATGAACGGTGGTATAGTCATACAAAGGAATGGAATGTAAAAAGGAATGAATTATTTATATCACACAACGACATGGTGAGTCTTTGAATGATTACGCTGAGAGAAGGCAGCCAAAAATAAGGTTTCACACTATAACATCCCATTTATCAAAAACTCTACAAAATGCAATTAATCTGTAATAACAACGTAGATCAGCTGTTGCTTGGTGGTTGGAGGTTGGGGGTGGGGGGGGAGGTGGGAGGGTCACTGAGGGTCACAAGGAGACTGAGTGGGATAGATTGTTCACTGTTCTGATGGGGGAGCTGTTTCACAGTGGGGTGTGTGTGTGTGTGTGTGTGTGTGTACACATCTAATTGTGAGAGGCAGGGAGGGAGCGAGAAGGAAGAATGGCAGGAAGGAGGGAAGGAGGGAAGAGGGAAGGTAGGTTTGGCTGGGTAGGTCTGGATGCCATGTGGCTACTTGTAGACATGGCGTCCTCTGAGCTCCAACCTCACTCAGCACCCAGGTGCACAGCCCCTGTTTCACAGGTGTGTGTGTGTGTGTGTGTGTGTGTGTGTGTTTGTGTGTGTCTCTCTGTGTGTATGTCTCTGTGTTTGTGTGTGTCTGTGTGTCTTTGTGTGTGTATGTCTATGTGTTTGTGTGTGTGTCTCTGTATGTGTCTCTGTGTGTCTGTGCATGTGTGTGTATCTCTGTGTGTGCATGCCTCTGTGTGTATGTCTGTGTGTGTATGTCTCTCTGTGTGTCTGTGTGTATATGCCTGTGCGTCTGTGTCTGTGTAACTCTCTGTGTGTTTGTGTATGTGTGTGTATGTTTCTGTGTGTATGTCTGTGTGTCTGTAACTGTGTGTTTGTATATGTGTGCGTGTCTCTGTGTGTGTCTCTGTGTATGTGTGTGTGTGTGTGTGTGTGTGTGATGTGGGTCCTCAAGCACATGGCAAGCATGCCCTTCCCGTTGGCAGGAGGCGGCTGCAGGGCGGCAGCAGGGACAGTGAGGTGGAGGTGAGCCCTGGGGAGGGAGGGGTGACACCTGTGGGTCAGCTTCCTGCGGAGATGACCACCCTGCGGTGGGCGGGAGGCTGGAGCGGCCTCCCGCTTTCCGGTCCGGATGGCGGGTGGGGATAAACCGCACTGACTCAGGCGGGGTGAGTACCCCGCGCCCTCTGTGACGGAGGCAAATCAGCCATCTAACCCCCAGGGCTCTGGGTGGGGGCCCCGTGCTGGCGGACGGAAGAGGAAGCACCCCCGGCTGGAGGCCAGCATGAGGCAGCACTCCTTCAGCGTCTTTCCTCCTGGGCGTGGTGCCAGGGCCCGGGGAGGCCTGCCACCTCCACATGCTGCCAGGACTGGAGCCCGAAATGCAGGGTTTCAGCCTGTGCTAGGACACCCTCACTCCTGCGGGCATGTCCCCTCCAGCTAAGGAGGAAGAGGGGGAGGGCGCTGGGCTCCCCCCGCAGGCGGAAGGGTAGAACTGAGAAACGGGGGGCACGTTCCCCAGGGCCTGCCCAGCCGAAGAGAAGGAAGTGTTTGGGGGAGGGACGGGTGTGGAGTAGCCTGGGGCCAGGCTGGAGCTGGGGTGCAGAGGGGACTCCGGGGCAGGGAGCTGGTGTCTGCTCCGAGACCTGAGCCCCACCCTGGGCTGTGGGAAAACTGGCAGAGCCTGTGGAAACGCCCCTGAGCCAGGAATGCCTTCTGGAAACTAACTCTGAACATGGAGAAGCGTTTTCTTTCCATTTAACAGAGGTGCTTGGCCATGACCTTCCTCGTGTTAAAGGGTGTTTTACAGGTCAGCAGAGTCCTCCTTCCACCAATCACAGGGGAGACACGGGAGCCGGACCACGGCTCCCAACCAGCCCAGGCCGGCCTCCTCCCTCCGGAGTCTTAGATACACATGCACCTGTCGCCTGTAGTTTCTACACTAACGATACGGCTCTTTTGGAATGAGAATGAGATGGCATGAAAATGGAAGATAGGAGCTATATATTCCTCAATACAGTTTCTGTAGCCAGAACTGTACCATCCGTTACCTGATACTGCTTTTGCCCGGAGATCCTCATTGCTGGCAGCAGTGGCGTGTCCTGGACAATGCAGGTGGTTGGTCCTGCCCCCACCTCTGGCTCTCCAGGTCACAAATGTCCCCCTACTCAGCTCTCCTGCGTCCTGGCATTGCCCACCCTCCGGGCCTCCCTTCCCCGGGCCCCATGTGGTACTTACTCAGCCGCCTCAGGTACATTACGGCATCGTCGTACCCTCGGTAGTAGTAATTGTGCAGGGCCTGCAAGGCGGGCATAGCAGGAGGAGACTCAGGCTGGGGTACAGCAACAGCGCGGTCCCCTCCCCAGAGCAGCTGCTGTCACACTGTGCCTGTCCGGTTCCCATCCCTCACTCCCTGCCAGGGCCTGGGAGCAGGTCCCGTGTCCATGGTGACACATCAGGGTGCTAATCCTTGCAGCTGCCACCAGCTCCCCTGGCGGGAGATGTTCTCAGCAGAAGCAGGGGAAGTACATTTGGACTGTATGAAAAACACAGTCTGGAGACTGGGTTCAAACCCAGTGCTGCCACCTACTGGCTGTGTGGCTCTGTGGATGTAACCTCTCACAGCCTCAGTGTCTTCATCTGTAAAATGGGGTAATAATAGCATCTATGGCAGAGGATGCTGAAGAATCGCACGAGATATTGCCCACAAAGCCTTTTCTCTAAAGGGCCAGGTAGTAAATATTTGGGGCTTTGCAGACCTTACATAGCCTGCCATTTGTTGTTGTTGTTGTTGTTGTTGTTCTTCTTCTTCTTCTTCTTCTTCTTATTCTCTTCCTCTTCCTCCTCCTCCTCCTCCTCCTCCTTCTTCATCATCATCATCTTTTTTTACAGTCATTTATTTTATTTTATGTTTTCTTTTTACTGAATATATTGGGGTTAACAAAATTATATAGCTTTCCGGTGCACAACTCTACACACATCATCTGTACACTGTACTGTGTGTTCACCGGGCATTTTACAGCCTTTAGCAGTGGAGAGCCCACACTTAGCTCACCGGCTGTACAAAAACCAGGGGTGAGGGTGTATCTAGCCCCTGGGCCACAGTTTGCTGACCTGACATCGCCCATCAGAGCGGACATCATCCCATCAGTGACTCTGACATCACCTTATTTCCAGGGGAGGACATTAAGGCTGCAGGCCTTAGGGACTTGTTCAAGGCCACACAGCTCATTAGCGAAAAGACCAGGATGCAGGTCTAGGAGGAAGTCTAAGGGAACATTCGAGGGGAGGGGACATGGAAACTGAGTGAGCCCACTGGCCTCCCCATTGCACCCCCCACCCCACCCCTGCCCCCCAGGCCCCTCTGGCTCACCATCAGGTCGGGGGGGAACAGGGCATGGGTCATCCTGGTGATGTTCTCCAGGGAGAACTGGAAGGAGCAGTTGAACATGCGGAAGTCATGGAAGATGGCAGGGCAGTCCCGAGGGCAGATGTCCTGCTGGCCGCTGAAGGTGGAGATGGTGATGGCGTCTGTCCAGAAGGAGCAGGGCTGCATGCCCGTGAAGCCGCCGTCGATGTACCGCTGTGGGCGGAGTGAGAAGTGCACGCCTGGCCAGAGGTCCCTCCCCACGCGGGAGGACACAGGACAGCCCTACACCGAGGCCTGGGGCTGGTGACGGGCCCGAGGTCACTCGGGGAGCTGGTGGCCTCTGGACTCCTGCCCAGGGCTCCGTCCCTACGGGCTCCCCCAGCCATCTTCCTGGGGCTGCGGAGGGCTCCCAGGCCTCTGTGGGGAGGGGCAGCCACACCCTGGATGAAGCAGGAGCGAGTGCCCCTCCAAACCCCCCTCCCCCATTACAGTCCCCCTCCTGCCTCCCCCCCATCCCCTCAACTGCTGAGGCCAGAGGGGAACAGAGCGTCTGTGTCTTCTACTAGCACGTGGGCATTCTGAGTGGGAAAACACGAGAACCTTTCCAGCTCCTGGTCTTCCCGCGGGACTCAGACCCCCCTCCGGTCCCGCTGTGGTCTCAGGGTCCGCCCCTGGCCCCGCCCGCCCCGCCCACGCCCGGCACTCACCACGCCGCGGTAGGTCGGGGGGATGAGGCCGCAGTACACGGGCACAAAGCAGCTGCAGTACAGGGCCTGCGGGAGGACAGGGCTGAGAGCCTGAGGCCCTGGGGCTGGGGCCCCTGCCGGCAAACCCCGGGCACGGCCAGCCTCGCCTTCCTTAACCCACGGTGGAGGCCTGCCTTCCTCCCGAGTCCAGCCCTGTTCCGGCCCTGACCAGCGGGGTCCTTGGTCCCAGCTTTAAAGGGAGAGGGTGACCTCTGTGATCTCCAGGGTCCCTCCCGGCACCAAAGTTCCCCAAACACAATGGGAGTCAACAGCCATCATGTGCATCCGGCTCAGGCCAGGTCCTGACATCAAAGGGGGAGAGCTGCCCACCTTGGGAATGCTGCAGGAGGGGAGTAAGCAAGCGGGTGCTGGTACAGGGTGTCAGGTGCTGTGATGGCGGTGACATGGCATGGTGGCCCCAAGGAGGAGCACCCAGCTCGGGGGGTGGGGGTGGGGGGGGCAGATGAAGGGGAGTTCCAGCAGGAGTGACTGGAGGCTTCTCAGGCGGGTGAAGGGCGTGAGAATGAGAGAAGGGCACCCCAGGAGAAGGGCACAGTGGGTGCAAAGGCCCGAAGACCAGCTTTGAGTGAGGTCTGTGCTGGCTGGCTTGGGTTGACGGGGGAGGTGGTGGAAGGCTGGAGAGGAAAGTCTTGAAGAGCTGGTACCAACAAACCCAGGGACACGAGGTGGTGGAGGAGTATCCACAGGCATTGCCTATTCACCCTCCACCCAGCATCACGGCCAGGCCAGTGTGGGGATGTGAGTATGGGTGGCAAGGGCCTTGTCTCCAGAGGGAGGAAGGAAGGGGAGGAGAAATATGGGACAGAGCAATGCAGTGTAACCCTTTTGTCATGAAAGAAAAGTGGATATGCCCCCAGCCCTCCCCAGCGAGAGCAACTCCGCTAAGAGTTGTGTTAATGAGGCTGGAACAGGGCAGCTTTGTGCGTGGTTTGCTCTGGTTGGCACAGGTAGACGAGGAAGGTGGTAGAAGGCTGGAGAAGCAGGACCAGAAGGCCCTCCAACCCTCCAACCTGCCCTTCCCAGCGCACTCCACAGCCCCGCCCCCATCCGCAGCCCCGCCCCATCCACAGCCCCGCCCCCATCCACAGCCCCGCCCCCTCTCCACAGTCCCGCCCCACATCCCCGCCCACACCCACAGCCCCGCCCCTGCTCCACAGCCCCGTCCCCTCCCCACAGTCCTGCCCCACAGCTCCGTCCCCATACACAGCCCCGCCCCCATACACAGCCCCGCCCCCATACACAGCCCCGCCCCCATACACAGCCCCGCCCCCATCCACAGCCCCACGCCGCCTCTCTCTTGCCTCGATGAGCTCCTCTTTGGACGTGTACTCGGAAACCACGACGCTCTCCCCGTCGGTGAAGCGGGTGAGGCTCACGTGCAGCTTGCCGGTGGCGGCCTTGTAGGAGTCCTCGGGCAGCGCCTGGTACAGGAACTGCCGCATCATGGGCACCATCCTGCAGGAGGGCGCCAGGGGCCCCAGGAAGGACTTCTTCGTCTCGGCCACACCCACGTTGAGGACGCGCAGGTACTCATCTGGGGAGGAAGCAGAGAGGAGCTGGAGGTCAGCGGCCGTGGCCGAGAGAGGAGTCAACGGTGATTCCCCATCTCACCCTGCAGCCAGCAAATGGAAGACCCGGAATGCTGAGGCGGGGACGGGACCCGCCTGTCCTGCTCAGGAGGAGAGCCGGCGCAGTAGACCTGAGTCACTGGCCCCGGGATCCCAGGACAGAGCAGACAAAGGACCCTTTCCTACCCCAAGGAGCCTCCCCAGCTCCGTGTACACCTGCTGGCCCCACCAGACGACATGCTATTGGAGTCTGAGAGACCTTTTGTCCTGAGACTCCCATCAAAACACACTCACTCCCACACACACACACCCACACACACACACACCCCACTGACACAGTGGGAAGCCTTCACCAGTGGCACCTGGGCACTGGCTTAGTGCCAGCTGCGTCTGCGTGCAGGGCAGGTGTGCTGGCCTCGGGGCCGATGGATTTCAGGGAGGGGTGAACTTTGTCCTAAACTATTGCACCATCTTCCCTGCCTGGCCCCTGGCAGGCCCGAAAGGGAGCAGGTCCTGACCCCGGAGACGGCCGTGCCAGGCTGTCCCGCCGGCGCCCAGGAGGGGGACACCTGGTCCTCCTTTCCAGGGCAGCACGGCCAGGGCGGCTGTGCCAGGATGCTCGGCGGGCGGACGTGTTGTTCCGGGGGCCGCAGAGGGGGGTGTAAGTTGCCTCCCGGGCCCTGAGAATCCCACTGGCTAAGACGTGCGGTGGTGCTGGAGCCGCACGGCGGTGCTGAGGCAGGTCTCTCTCTGCATCCCCCTGGTCAGGAAGCGAGGCCCGGAGAGGCAGTCTGACTCGCCCCCGGTCACCTATGAGCTACGAGGACAAAGTGGGATTTTAACCTCGAGTGACCCCGGAACCCATGCTCCTTCCACTAACCTAAGCTGCAGGCTTCCGGGTCCGGCCTGAACCTGCTTCCTGCTCGGTGTTGCTACCTTCCGCCTGGTGGGAGCTCCCTGGGCAAAGCAGGAGTGGAAACGGCTCTGCAAGGCCCGCTAGCGTTTTAAACAGACGTTTCATTGTAAACCCTCCCGCCATCAGCACCACGCAGCCATGGCGCCTCGGGAAGCTGTGTGGCCGCGAGCTCTCTGCCACTGCGGGTGATCCAGCAGAGGCCGGAAACGCTCCCAGCAGACAGCTTATCAGAGGGACTCCCGGGTGGCCCTTAGGGCTAAGATCCCTTCTAATGCTGCGATTCCCGGCTTCTCACAGAGCCCGACCGGGCCTCCGGGGAGGGATGGCCGTGAACCTTGGTCTCCGTTTATAAACAGAGCAGCTGAGGCACAGAGACCGGCAGTGGTCTGCAGCAATCTGGGGACAAACCCAAGCTGGTGCCGCTCTCCTCCTGCATGCTACAGGCCACAGGCCATCCCCACTGACCCTGGAGGCGGAGAGGATGAGGAGCGGCCTCGTCATTTCTCCGCTCTAGAATCAGGGGGACCCTCCGTGTCCTTCCTGAGGCGGGAGAGCCAGGCGGTGTTTGCTCTGACTCCCGCCCACGTCTTCCCCTGGGTGTCGGACCGAACCCAGAGGCTGGGGAGCCTGGGTTGCCATGGTGACAGCCTCTTCTCACCAGCGTGTAGAATCCCAGCTGCATGTGTGCAGGAGGGACTGACCCTGCAGGGGGAGGCCCGCAGTCAGCATCACGGTGTGCCGACTGATTCCAGCGCGTTCTCCCTGGAGGGAGGGTGGCAGCCGGCCCACCAGCGGGTTATGGAACAGCTGGGCATCGGGTCCCAAGCTCTCTCCTACAAGGCCGGTGGTGGGGTGGACGCGGGTGGGGACACGCTGCTTTTAGAAATGTTTCTCAATCCTCACTTGAGGGTACGTTTTTATTGGTTTTAGAGACAGAGGAAGGGAGAAGGAGGGAGGGAGAGAGGGGGGGAGAAACATTGATCGTTGCCTCCTGCATGCGCCCGGAATGGGGATCAAACCCACAACCTGGGAATGTGCCCTGATCAGGAACCAGATCGGCAGCCTTTCGGGGTACAGGACCAAGCTCCAACCGCCGGCCGGGCTGCTTTGGAATTCTCAGGGAGCAGCCTGAAGCGGTCACAGAGGAGGGGGGGCTTCCCACAATGCCCGGGAGCCAGGAGCACCCTCAGCAGTTTGCCCCAACGCCCCCTGACTCCCGGCAAGGGGAGCTCACGGGGCCGATGGGAGGACGAGGGTTCTTACTGCACGAGAAACACAAGTCATTGTGGGGAATGGTTTTAGGTGCAGATAAGCAAAAGGAAAAAAGGAAAATGACTTGGAATCCCTCCGCCCAGAGATTAACATTTGGTTTCTGTCTTCCTACACTATATATTTTATATTTATTCTTCTGACAAAATACTTGTATGGAGTCCATCTGTTTACATTATTTTTGTTGCTTGCTTTTTTTCACCTAATAAACCATGCCTTTCCCATTGGTGAGGACCCACTAATAACCTCACTCCCCGGCAGCAGGGAGTGCTGTGAGGCCATGAGATCACTGACTGAGCAGGCCCCCTGAAGGAGTTGGCTGTGTAGTCTGTTTCCTTGCTTTCCTAAGCCACGCTGCAATCGATAATCTCCTGCTAAGTCTTTGCCTGTGTCCTTCCTTCCTTTCCTTAGGATGGGTGCTAAGTGAAAGGCATGCACACATTTAGCCTCATAATGCATATTTTGACCATGGCTGTTGTGTATTATCCATTTACAGTCACCTCAGCTGTTCAGAGGGGGTGGTGGGTGGCAGGGACTGAGCAGTGGCCAAGATGATAGAAATAGCGCCGGCATCTCCGCTATACTGTCCTCTGAAAACATGCCCCCCGGAAACTAGCAACGCTCTAGCCAGGATCACCTACCAGGGAGGGAGGGGGCAGGAGATGGTCTGGTTTCTCCCACTCAGGTGCCGCTTTAATATTCTTCCCTGCTGCTCGGGGGGACTCATACCACAGGATGCCTTTATCTCCGCTTCTCCTGGCTTCCCTTCACGTCCGTCTGTGTGTCTCTGTCTTCAGAGCCCCCCCTCCCCCGCCTGCCGCGCCCCCCCATCCCACACACACACACACACACACACACACACACACACACACACTTCTCTCTCTTCCTAGCTGAGGCAAAAGCAGCTAATCTTCTGGTTAACAAGTCTGGATGGTAGCAAGTCACACGCGAAGCAGAGCAGTTGCTGGGCGCTGTGAGGAGGATGAATGTAGCTTCTCTGTGCATCTCCGTCCCTTCCAGCACCTCCTCCCAGTTAAGGGCTCCTTCCAAGCCCTGGGCTCGGAGACAGCGTCCCACACCGAGCAGCCGAGCAGCCGGGCGGAGGAAGAGCAGCGCAGCCGGAAACTCAGGTTGGCTGCTCTCACCCCAGGCCCACACTCCCCATGTCCTTTCACAACTGGGTATCAGCTGAGGGTGGTGACTGCCTCCCGCCAGGAAGGAGGCGCTCTGAGGGCTGGTCCTCCCCTCCCTCCCTCGTGGCCTCCGAAGCCTTTGTTGTAAGCTTGGAGCTCCTCAGGGCGGGGAGGGGCCATGCTCCCGGACACCCACCAGGCCTCCCCCCCCGCCCCCCCGGGGGCCCAGTGGTGGCTCCTGTGTGAACAGAGGAAAACAAGGACCTACAGGGAGGAAGAGCACGTGATGGGGATGCTCACAAGGAACGGCTTCTTGACTTAACGACCCCATAGAAGCTTGAAGGCCAGATCGTCCCAGACAGATGCTAGATAACAGAGTTAGCCGTGGCCAGTGTGGCCCATCCCCCAGGCTTTAGGAATCCGTCCACGGTCCTAAAAGCTTCAGCGGGAAAATAAACACCCAGATCCTTGGACGGGGAGGTAATGAGGCCATTTGGAAGCCGCTCCGAATCTCAGTCGCTCTTTGCTAAGACCAGACCCATTTCTTGGAAAGAGCTCGGACCCTAAAGCCACACAGATTTGGTTCAAACCCCAGCTTTGCTGCACCCTATCTGGGCAGCCACACGACTTCTTCCAGCCTCAATTTGCCGCCTATGAAATGGGACTAGTGACACTTGGGTTGCGGGGTTGTTGTGAGGCGGGCATTTTAAAAAATATATATTTTACTGATTTTTTACAGAGAGGGATAGAGAGCTAGAAACCTTGATGAGAGAGAATCATTGATCAGCTGCCTCCTGCACACCCCCTACTGGGGATGTGCCCACAACCAAGGTACATGCCCTTGACCAAAATCCAACCTGGGACCCTTCAATCCGCAGGCCGACGCTCTATCCACTGAGCCGAACCGGTTTCGGCGAGGCGGGCGTTTTTAAAGTCCCCACACACCAAAGCGCTGGGTGTCAGCAGGCCGGCAGCTCCCAGTGGCCAGGGAAAGCCTTTGTCACGTTCCTGCCTGCCAGCTCTCTCCTCCGAACGGGGGCAGTGCTTCCTGCCCCGAGCCTTCCCCACCTCGCCCGGGCTCCGTGTGGGGAGGAGAGCGGGTACAAGCATGTGCGGGGCGGGTGCGCCGGCCTCAGGCGTGGGGAGGGGCGGTGAGTGCAGGACAGGCAGGGTTGGCCACAGCACTCCGCCCTGTCAACTTGGGGGGCCTACAGATCTGGTTGGCAAGGGGGTGGGGAGAACAACTATGGAAGAGAAGGGTATGAATGATTAGATATGCACTTATCTTATTTATCTGCTAAGTGCTTAGTTTCTCCTCTTCATGAGAGCAAGGATGGTCTCTGTCTTGTTCGCCCCTTTGCCCCAGCCCCTGGTAAAGTGCCGGGACATAACTGCGTGTAATAAACACGAGTACATACGTGAACAGTAAGTGAACGGACCCCCGCCCCGAAGGAGGACACTGAGGTCCAGACAGAGAGGCAGCTACTCAAGGTGACTCAGCCCAGAGGCGGCTTCCCTTCCCGTCCTCCACAGGCCTCTCGCCGAGCGGAAAACCCTAGAAGGACGGGCACTGCCAGCTGACGATTTCATTAGCTGGGGATCCCGTGCAGGGGTGCCCGAATTAGGTCTCTGCGGAGGAGGATGGGAC